TAAAGAAACAGCTCCTAAAGATTATAAACTTTTCCAGGAAATTCTTATCCTCTCATGTGAAAAGGAAATCAATAACGCCGCCAACTCAGTAATTTTTATTGTTTGTTTTTTCAATCATGAAATATCCATTTTTAACTCTTTTTTTTCTTATTTTAAATGTTTTAACTAAGTTTATCATTTCCACTGTATTGACTTCATCGTTACTTACTTATTGCTTATCTCCCCTTTCTTACAGCATTTGTGACCACAGTCCACTGGGCACAGCCCCTTTCATGGTCATGTGATCATTATTGGCCGTGAAAGGGGATTATGTGTGCAGTGGACTGTGGTAGCAAGTGATTTATTGCCCACAGTTTTCCATTGTGAGAGGTGGGAAGTATGCAGTAATTATATTCTCCTTCGTCCCTCATACGAATATAAATTATTTCATATCTATAAATCGTAAGTGAACAAACAACAAAAAGACTATAATTCTTTTATACGCTATAATTAGCTAATCAGGTATCGTTTGTTACAAGTAATTTCATGTATATCGTCGTTTGTTACAAGTAATTTCATGTATATCGTTATGTCACGAAACTGTGAATTGAACATTGAACAACGACTACATATCGAATCATCCTCTTCTCTCGTTCCTGAATACAAAAACAACCAAAACCACATCGGAATACGCATATCACCAAGTCCACGATGTTCAAATCCCTGCGCATTCCTCCGTAGGCTGATCCCCTACATGTTTAATTAACAACACTACAACAAACAAAAACAATTATTAGCATGAACTACAGTTGTGGGATCGCACAACGTTACACGATGTGCGGTGTGCGCACGATGTGTGCACGGTGTGTGAACGGTGTGTGCACGATGAGCGAACGATAAAAAGCTGAACGATCATTGCTTGCGCACATATGTGCGCACGATGGACGGACGTTGTGCGATAACAATCGTGGTTGGTGTAAATTGAGGAATGCCTTAACAATTTATACGGTTTCTTGTTAAACATATAAACTTGATGTTTACGTATGTTTCTATATTCTAGCAACATCTATAAACTTATCTTTCTGTCTATAAATTCTTATATTTAGGANTGCAAATAACAAATCCTTTTTATTACGGTCAAACGGTATCGCATATCAGCTCTGTGTGTCAGGCACTGGTCAGGTAAAACTCCGGACACTCATAAAATTGTTATTTACCTGTTCTGTTACCTTGGAGCCAAACCCATTCTTGACAGCCTAACGGTCACTGTAATACTGTGTAATACGCATTGTGAAATTGTATAATCTTGATTATTGGGATGAGAAATTACAGATATATACACAGTGTACATTATCGCATACAAGCCTTCCGTATTTTTGTCATTCCGTAATTTTGATCTACAAACGATACCAAATCGCACAGTTGTGCGGAGAGAAGCGCACAACGGGGCGAACGATTGCTAAATCGCACAGTTGTGCGCACCATGTGTGGACGATGTGCGGACGGTGTGTGAACGATGTATGCACGGTGTGCGCACGCCATTTTTGGTGCGTTGTGCGGTCCCACAACTGTATAAACAATTCAGACCTATCCTATACATATTTCACTTCAACTGTTCATCTCAACCATACACTCAACACTTGTCTTACTTTATTCTTAAAACTGTTATATAACCCATACCAACATTCGACAACCACGGTCTGCATATACTCCCTATGTTGAATTTGCACTTACATCAAAAAAAAAAAAAAAAACAACAATAATAATATCAATAAATCACATACACACCCAATTAAACAAATTTTTAAAAAAAATAATTGACGGAGCCAACGTGGAACATCCGTCTCTGTGTGTAACAAATACCTCGATGAAAACCCCCAGTTGAACCCAGGTATTTACACACCTGTACAGGTAAAGCACGGACTTCACGTGCCATTAGTTACTACAATTTACAGATCCTTCACTCACAATATAACGAAACGAAATCTAAATATATATACTATAGTTGAGTTGCCGGTGCTACAGGTGAGGTAAACCTGTGGCCACTTTAGACATTATAAATCAGTGGTCCATAGTGACTGCTGCTATACAATAAATAGAAATAAAATAGAAATAAAACAATACAAATCATTATACTTAAAACTTACTTAAACTAGGTGATATTTAATTCACCTGGGTACATATATATTTAATAGTTGTAATTAATAACTTTGGCAATTATAATTAATAAGTACGCTTTCCATATCATTAACAAATAAAGAAAACAGCATGGGCGATAAAGCCTCCCCTTGTAAAAGTCCAACATGCATATGAAACATACCAACAAATTTCCCGCTTGATTTTAAGATTTTACATTTTTGTAAATCGACTTAATTACATTCAGCAATCTATCCCGTATTCCATTTCTTTGTCATGATGATAAAATTTGTCATGAGTAACATAAATCAAAAGATTTCGTATAATCAACAACTACACAATAAAGCCGTTTATTTTGTTGTTAAGTATTTCTAACTAAACTATGTAATGCAAATATTGCATCACGTGTACCAAGACCAGGCTTAAGCCCAAATTGGGCATCTGTAACCACACACTCTGATTCGCTCCATATCAGCAATCTTTTATTTAATAGGCTAATGAATGATTTAGCTACGTGACTAATTAGAGTATTCCCCCTTTAATCATTGACATTGTTCTTATCTCCCTTTTGATATAAAGGAACAATTACACCCAAGCTTGAGGGAAATATCCTACTTCAACCGCATTATTAAACAGCAGAACTAGTACTGGTGCAACAATATCTTTATATTCAATTAATTCATTAAGTATCATATCAATACCTGCTGATTTATCTTTAGACATCAAGTACCAATTCGTGAGGTTTGGTGTTTGAATCATACTCATAGTTAGGGAATTTTTACAGCTATATTTGGACCTAAACTAAGGTGTTCAGAATATTTTCTCACGTTTTAGGGGTTAAAATCAATTCTCGGTAAAATTTCCGACCCAAATTGTGATATATACGAGAAGGGTGGAAAGTTCTCGATGTCGAAATAACGACCCCTCCTAACTTTCTTGCATAAAAATACCCCCGCATTTCTAGTTGATATAAGTTTATGGGCGGATTGGTCGAGTGGTTAACACTCCGGCTTCCAAGCAGGTGGCTTGAGTTCGATCTCCAAAGTCGTCGTACGCAAGAAATATTCAGAGAAAGTGTTTTATATAAGTGGAGTATAAAGTGGTCTTGGGTAGATGTTGCGGTATCTGTGCTGTAAAATTTACGTGATGTGGCACTTCAAATGATACCGTTCGAAGCACGGTCCCACTACAAACAGAACACACAAAATCTCCAGCACACCCGCAGGCATACATATACATGTATAAGGAGGTATTAGCCAGGTGGCATATGACTAATAGTTAGCGCCTGATAAGGCAGCTCCTGCGAATTTCTCAAAATTGTATTGATTAATGTATATACTCTTTGTATTGATTGTATAAAATGTATATTTATGTACTGTAAAGCGCTTTAGAGTGGCTTATTCTAGCTAGATATTGCACTATATCAAATGTTGTACACGTATATTATTATTTTATATAGAGAAAACATGCTAAGTACCATTTAAAAGATGGATTATTGTTCTTTTAAAAACCTCCTATATGCACGTCAAATATATTCTCCTTCCGCGGACATGATCTCCGTTTCCTCGAAAAACACACACCGTTTCCGAATCCACTTTTTGCATATCTATATCAAGGTGACTTCAGCCACATGCCGAAACCTCATCTTTTCAACGGTACTATGCATGCTTTCATACATCAACTAGAATTGTGTTTTTTGATGCAAGAAAGTGGATATTTTTCGACTCTAGAGCTTTCTACCCTTGTCGTACAATGTATGTAATATATCATCATTGGCACTTTTACCGAAAGTTGATCGAAACCCCTAATACGTATACAATTACCATGAACACCTTAGCTTAGGTCCAAATATAGCTGTAACAAATTTTCAGGTCCCTTTCGTTAAATAAATAAAGTTGAATCATTCGAGTATGTTTATTCCTAGCCATTAAAGTACCTCTGGGTCAGATGATCATCTTCGCTAGCCAAGTGTTCGCTTCGTATACACTCCACTTACCCTTGGCGGATATAGCCGTGTTTTCATAATTCCCTCACCTGCCACCTAGCGGATATACCGAGTTATCGTTCTGCGCCCAATACACTTTTAACCAATCAGAATGACTGTTACATACACACTCCATCGGCGTGTTGACATAAGCACGTGTATGTCGAGGCGGAGTATAAATGACAGAGCAATATGGAAACAATCAAAAGGCAGCACACATATTTTCCCAGGTCATCATTTACATATGGCACGTAGTCAAATATTCCACCGACTGATTTAACACTCCAGAAGTTTCCCAAAAGATCGCGCGCCTATTTTTTTTTGGGGCAAAACACTCGGACATAAACGACAACGTGCTTCCGTAAAGGGCGTCACCATTACTGTTTTCCTTCGTCAACAGCGCTATTTGTAAGACGCGATTTCATTGGATGCAATCGATTGGCACCGCGCGAAAATTTGAAGGCTCGGTAAACACGGCTATATCCGCCAAGGGTAAGTGGAGTGTATACAAGCGAACACTTGGCTAGCGAAGATGGCAGATGATATGATAAAACATCATTAAGCTTCAGGCTAAATCTCGCGACTTCGAGCTACTTCATTCGAAAAATTCGGTAAAACAAAACATTCTTAATATAATGATTATATAATAAATTGATCGGATTTTAAAATATTTGAAATTCAACATGTTATTGGCCTACTATAAAAAAAAAACTTACCGTCGGAAGAATTACGTGTATATAAAATCATGTTTAGGTGTGAAAAATTATTTGTTTTCATTATAGCATATTTTCACATTTGTTCTCAATAATTTTTAATGAAAAAACACAATTTAAGACTGCCTTTGCAGCAGCGATATAAATCTATATAAAACATAAGGCAACAATTATATTTCAAGTATTAGGTTTCAGCAGCTGTACAGACGTCCCCCTCAGTTTTGTGTACCGGATTAAAATAACAGAAGGCAATTACATCGACATGTTCTGTGACATGGATTCTGCCCAGGGCCCGTGGACTGTAAGTATGGCAACTGCGGAACTATGTTGAAATCGAGAATAAGCGATTTCTTTTTACGTAGACTCCAGTCAATTCTAGAATGGCATTTCATTCACTAGCTATTCGGCTGGAAACTATGTTGTGATGACGACAGTTTATATATCTCAGCGTAGATTGGCACCTCTCCATTAGAAAACCCGTGGTGCCGTATTTTTTTATCAAGGCTTGGCCTCAACTTAATGAACGCATCTTAAGGTAGTTAAGATTGTCTTAATCCAGTAATGCTTCCCAATGGACATAACATAAGACACTGTTCTTAAGTTAAGGGACATGCGTGAAATTAAGGGCCAGAAAACGCGGATCATGTTGTTTTCCGGTAATGCAGTGGATATTCATTTTGCTGATGAACCGCATACGAAAGCTGTTTAATGCTTAAATAATAGTAAACAGAATTTAGTGCACAACTGAGACGATGTTTAGGTGTTAACGAACCATTGCACGAGAGCGTGTGACCATGTTTGTGCACCAACTCATACACTTAATTCCAAATGCATAAACACCCGCACATATTAGACGACTCCCAGATCAGCTCATCAGCAGCAGCAACTGACACACAATTGACCCCCACAGAAACTCACACACTTTTCCGTATTTAATTACATTTCCACCAGTGAAATATTGGAAATCATTCATCCTATTAAAGTGATATTTTTCAGTCGGTGAAAAAAGTCAAAATGATATTTTCATTAGTGAGAATATCACTTTTGTTTATTTGACCAATCAAAACACTGATTACAAACTACCATTGGCCTTGACAAAATCTTTATTGATTCATCAGCCCAGTCTACTCTGTCGACAATCATGGGGAAACTATTATCGGGGAAACACAGCGTTCGATTCCGCAGTGAACTTTCATTTTCATTGAAGCCAGTAGACTATGCAGGCCATCAATTCTAGCTATTTGATCGGAAGAAACTGATGTCAAATGAGCACGTGTCAGCGTCCAAAGTCCAAAGTTGGGCCAAGCAATTGACAGAAAATATATAAAATATATAAAAGAATCAGGGTCATATGTGACAATGATTAAGAATAACTTACATAGGTGGTTTTTATATTTCATCACCGGGATAAATGGTGACACAGCGACTGCATGTTATAACACTCACCACCATTTTAGATTTGGCGCGTCAAGTATCAACAACGCGTAGTGATCTGAGTCGGTATGATGGGACCTTTTTTAAAGAATTAAATTTGATAGAAATTTGGCATGTCTTGTTAAATTATGAATAAAATCACGTACCATATTAAAATAAACAATGAAAGGAATTTAATAATGAGTTTGACTAATATTTAGAAATAGTTCAAGATTGCTGTGAGCTCGTGAAAGACATCAAAATATTAGCCACACTCGTGAAATATATTTGGTCTTACTGTTAGATATACCTCTATATATATAACACACAGTTCAATTCAATGTACTTTTCTCCGTCAACTGTGTTCAATAAAGATATTACACTCATTTATATACATGTACTCATAAAATCACTCAATGATATATTCCAAACACATGAAATGATAAAATCACGGCATAATATTGGTGCAATTTCGATCTTAAAGCTCAGGCGAAATGCTAAAGTAAAAAGTCTTTCAATTAATGAGTTAAATGTCAACTTTCTTGTGCCGACATAAATTTGTTGATTTTCAATGGTAATAATTAATTTCCACACTCAACAACGCACTCTTGATTTAAATTGGCTTAGGTGATACAGAGACGAAAGCAACCAGGAGATGAAAATTTCACTCGTAGTTGGAAAAACTACAAGACCGGCTTTGGTGATCTACAGCGTGAATTCTGGCTCGGTAAGACAAAACGAAATAGCAATCAGAAACGGGTTTCTTCGTTGAATTCTTGCTTTATTTTTATTTATTTTCAGGTTTTTTGCCTGTTTTGTTAAGGGGTTGTGGGGTCTGGGATAGGTTGAGTGTTTGTTTGTTTGGCCTGTTCATTAGGGGGTTGTGTTGTCAGGGGATGGGTTGGGTGTTTGTTGTTTTATTTTTTTGCCTGTTCGTTAAGGGGTTGTGGGGTCGGGGATGGGTTGGGTGTTTGTTTGTTTGTCTGTTCGTGTAGGGGGTTGTGCGGTCGGGGATGGGTCGGTTATTGGTTTATTTGTTTGCCTGTTCGTTAAAGGGTTGTGGGATCGGGGGATGGGTTGGTTGTTTGGTTGTTTGCCTGTTAGTTAGGGGGTTGTGGGGTAAGGGATGAGTTGAGTGTTTGTTTGTTTGTTTGTTTGTTTGTTTGTTTGCCTGTTCGTTAATGGGTTGTTGGGTCGGGGATGGGTTTGGTGTTTGATTGTTTGATTGTTTGATTGCCCGTTCATTAGGGAGTTGTGGGGTCGGGGGTTGGGTTTGGTGTTTGGTTGTTTGTTTGTTTTTTTGTTTGCCTGTTCGTTAAGGGGTTGTGGGGTCGGGGGATGGGTTGGTTGTTTGTTTGCCTGTTCGTTAAGGGGTTGTGGGGTCAGGGGATGGGTTGTTTGTTTGATTGTTTGTTTGCCTGTTCATTAGGGGGTTGTGGGGTCGGGGATTGGTTGGTTGTTAGTTTGTTGGCCTGTTCGTTAAAGGGTTGTGGGGTCGAGGATGGGTTGTTTGTTTGATTGTTTGTTTGCCTGTTCGTTAAGGGGTTGTGGGGTCGGGGGATGGGTTGTTTGTTTGATTATTTGTTTGCCTGTTCATTAGGGGGTTGTGGGGTCGGGGTGGGGTTTGGTTGTTTGGTTGTTTGGATGTTTGTTTGCCTATTTTTTAAGGGGTTGTGGGGTTGGGGGATGGGTTGGGTGTTTGTTTATTTTTGTTTGCCTGTTCATTAGGAGGTTGTGGGGTTGGTTGGGTGTTTGGTTGTTTGGTTGTTTGTTTGCCTGTTCGTTAAGGGGTTGTGGGGTCGGGGGATGGGTTGGGTGGTGGGTTTTTTGCCTGCTTGTGTAGGGGGTTGTGGGGTTGGGGATGGGTTGGGTGATTGTTCTTTGTTTGTCCTTTTTACGCGTTGTCTTATTCTTCAAACCATTTTAAAACATTTCTATGACAACGACAATATATGAGTATGGTAACAAATAAGTATATCCTTGTACATGTTTGTAAGGTTAATGTTAAGATTCCATGTATGTTTACTTTCTGCTTTTATTCCGATCAAAGGCAATGACATTCTTCACCTCCTGACAAACACTCCGAGAGTCCTACGTGTAGAACTAGAGGCCTGGGACGGGACAACAGGATATGCCGAGTACTCAAGGTTCCAAGTGGCACACGAAGAGAAGAAGTACAGACTCAATGTTAAAGGCTTCTCCGGAAACGTTTCCAGTAAGTATTTTTGTATTTCCTTGTTACCTTTTGAATCCAAGAATTAAACTCGTAACCACAGATGTTTCCCTGAATGATCCTTGTCACGCTGCACTTTTTCCTATATGAAGTTACCTCCACTTTACTTTCGTTTGGACAAAGCTGCAGCACAGTTCGGCCAGGACACTTCCATCGACCAGGTTAGCGCCACGGATTAGAGCGATAGAATAATAATCTGAAGTCTACGGTTCGAATCCCGGTCTGGTCCAACAAAAAGTTCACACTCAGAACATTTGTTGCCCGTTTCACTCAGACTTTCGAGGGCAATACTTGATCTTATCGAGTTAGAACAGTAACCAACAGTGAATACATCAAATTTCGCGCCATTGTTGTCATCTGCGTCAGTCGCTCTGTCCTCGAGCATGGTCCCTCTTGCTCATTTTCAGTGATGTTTCCAACAAGGGAAATGCGACTCGGGGAACGCGATCGCGTGAGAGTAAAGATATGTTTTATTTCGCCGTCATGTGATCAATATAATCCAATCAGACACGCTGGTTATAATAATATTGGTGGTCGGGTGGTGCAGTGGATATCGCACTTGCCTTTCACCAAGACTTAACGGGTTCGATTCCCCGATCGGTCGTGAAAGGTATTGGGTCACTGACCACATGGGTTTTCTCCAGATCCTCCAGTTTCTTCCCAAATTAACACCCCGCGCACTAACATCCAACCCAACAAGACTGATTGATATAAGTTAAAATTACTTGTTTCATAATCATTGTAAGATAATGAAGTGTTTATTTTTTTAATCTGTGGATTTTTTTCTCTGTGATAAGCTGATGCCATGAGCCACAGTCATGACCAACCATTCACCACGTTCGACATGGACAATGACGAAGCTCCCGAACATGTTACTAACTGTGCCCAAACTCATGATGGCGCTTGGTGGTTCAGACAATGTACAGATGCCAACTTTAACGGCCGCCATCAGACAGACACGGGAGAAGACCCGATCTCGGCAATCTTCTGGTGGCATTTCCCGAACCATAAACGCCGTAAAACCCCGTTGAAGGAGTCAGTGATGATGGTACGGTAGCTGTGGTAGAGGTTGGATTTTACACATCTTCTCATTTGTATGCCTCATCCCGCCCCCTCAAACGCCTTGTCTGTCTTGGTTTCTTGGTTTCTTGGGGATAACTTTCGAGCAATTAATTATTTTTAAAGCGTTAAAGCGAATGAACCTCCGCGGGAAGCCAGTTTATTGTGTGGTTACTTAGTCAAAGGTCAAGGTCACAGTGGCTTTAGATAGTCAAGTGGTATCCCTTGAACAATGACTTATATCTAAACCAAACTTAAATTGATGTTGCTTGTTTACGGAACATCTCAATTATTTCTGATTTATACAAAGTTTTAAATTACAACACAATTAATACACTGTACATCATTCTGTGAAGTTCCTGATTTAGAGACATAAAATACTTTATCTGTGGTATTTTTGCACATAAGATAATACTATGTTTTAACTTATACAATTAGAGACCTGCAATACTTTGTCTGTCGTATTTTGTTTATAGGATTAAACCGTGATTTATCTTAGAGACCTATTTTGTCGTATTTTTGTCCATATAATAAAACTATTTTTGTAATTTTAACATCTAAGTAGTTCATTTGCATTAAGTTTCGTTTTCGTGGTATTGATTTGTTGTAACCTTAGTTTTATTAACTGAAAAAAAATGTTAATGAAAATATAGCTTCATTCTGATTTGGTACGCAGAGTGTGTAAATGTAGCAGGACGTTCACCGTCAGCTGTGGATAGAACCACCGTTTATATTTGACCATTGTATCATACAAGTCTATAACCTTATTGTTCGTGTATTGCTTGTCTGTATTCAAGTTTAAAACAGCAATAAACTGGTTTGTTGCAACTTGTTTGACGTTTATCATATGATATTTACATTTGCTCTGCATTGCCACTATATAACACTACAAAGGTCAGTTCCGTGTTATGAGACCATAACACGGGCGTAGTGATATCTCCGCGGGACCAACTAACTACCGGATAGCTATTCCCCTCCGCACTAGAAAAGCAAATAGTCAAAACATCCATAATGATTCAATGATATATTGTAAAATGCATATATTTATTGATTAAATTGTGGCAATTCTAACGATATTTTTGTGTTAATTTCTACGAACTTTATTTTTTAAGGGGAAAGTCACGTTCTACCTCTTGAACAAACACCGCGAAATTCGAATTTAAAAATGAAAATGATATGAAAAAATGTAAATATAAGCATGAAGAAATTCTGTTCTGTGTTATGGTCCTATAACACGGAACAGAATGCTGTTTCATGCTTAATTGAATGGACTTATTAACTGCGCAGTAGCAGTTGAACGTGACGTTTTCCATTTGGCTAGGGTTCTGCTGCGGAAATGCTGTATAATTATTGTACATATAATAAACCCAGCTTGACGAGATACACAAAATGACTTCAAATACGCGTTACATGTTCATGTACATGTATATATGTTAATTATGTATAACCACAGGGACCTGAGAATTTGTTACATCTTTATTTGGACCTACATTGAAGTGTTCAGCGTATTTGTACACGCAGTCATTGGAATGGCATCATTTTTTTTTATTTCAACTTGATGTAAATCCATAAAACATCCCATCAATAACCAACACTTAAATGGCTACTATCCTCATGGTCAATAATTAGATGTTAATGGTAATATTTATTTAGAAAACTCGTTTCATATAATTCTTCCTTCAAGAAATAATGTATTCAAACGAACTCTTTTTGTGATACATGTGTATTGTACCTGTGCTATGAATACTACTGTACCTGTGCGATAGATTAGATTATATTACATGTGCAATTAATTGAACGTCCTTTTAACAGCTGAGGTCATTCAAGGACGTGCCTCCATGTGTGTTGTGTTTGTGTTCTTTGGAGCCTTCACAGTCCAGGACCCATATTCATGAAACCATTATCATGTTCAAACTCTTAATTTACGATGATAAATTAAAAAATATATAATCAGTTTGTCAATTTTATGGAAGAATTTTGGAAACTTAAAACCGGATACTGTTTTCAATGTTTTCACTCGACTTTTTGACCGTATTACATGATTTTAAGCGATTAACATGTACAAGAAACTTGGCTTGAGAACAGAATTCATGATGGAGCATGTGAATGGTATCATGAGTACGGGCCCATATCTCCCATCCTCCCCACTTATATATATATATATATATATAAAATGAAAAAGATCGTAGACAAAGCGTTGGGCGGCATTACTTTTGTAATCTATTGCAAAAGCACTCTTGCACGTACTTGGGAGCTCGCACGAGCTTTTACGTCACATTGCATGTCGTCCTTTTTTTTTGTCATTACAAAACAAAGATATTTTAAAGATAACTCTTTAATGTCTCAAATGCACTGGACCTGTTGGTATGTTTATTAATGAATACATATTTATTTTGTGCACATCCCAAGATATCTGATTTCACTAGTGGTGATTCCGGAATTTTTACTGTACTTCATGCACCAGGTTATCGCTGAGAAATCATGACGTCGTAAGGGTTGGAAATAGGGAACAGCACATTTTTACCTCATAAGTCTTATTCCAGCAAACTTACATTTAGTTGGACGAAGAAGTTTGCTATCACCATCATACAATGTTATACAGACCCGATCCCTCATGAACAACTTTATAATTTCTTCCCGTTCACATTTGTTGTTATCTGAACTGTCGGTACAATCAAACGTGGTTCGCTTCCTGACTGTCCCGTTCACCATGAGGTTGAGAGTAGTCTCCCTTACTTCAATCAACACAACTCGCCACGTAATCATGTACGTACCCGACCGAGGGCATACGAATGTACTCAAATGTCGTTTGTAACCTCTTCCATAGTTCATTGTAATCTTTTCAAACGGAATAACGTCATCGACCAGAGGATCTACGCACGTGCGCATGTAGGCTGAGAATGCGACTATAGCCAGACCTAAATGTAGTGGAGAAAAAAGTGTAAAAACATATTTAAGTATACATGGGTCAAAGAAGTAATATCATCGGTAAATTCCCAAATTACACTGGATCCTTACAAGCGTATGTTTGAAGGATACAAAGAATGACGTGATTTGGTATATGGGGCAAGGAAGTTCAAGCGGTGTAGAGGTTGTCCAATTTTCGGAGCATTCCGCTCCTTTATCAAGACACAGAAAAAACACAGAACAGTTACATTACATAAAAACAAAATAGAAATATAATAGGATGTAGCTAATATTTGAAAACAATATGTCCCCCGGCTAGCCGCAACGTTGATCAATGCTATTGTGTGTGTGTGTGTGTGTGTGTGTGTGTGTGTGTGTGTGTTCGTCGACTACATCTGAAGAATGTTTAAACATACAATGTACATATAGTACAATTAAGCATCCATGACTTAGGACATGATATATGCACATTTTGTAAGCTTGAAAATTTAAATGTACTTTGACGGTTAAACACCAATCATACCAACCTTACACTTTACTGCTTGGACTAGCATTGCAAATATGTTCTTTTACATTTTGATATTAAGGTCGGGTTTTTTGGATCCGAATGTGTCATAGACTGGATTACCTCCCTTAGAACCATCTCTTTTTAATATGGTGTGCCGTTGATAGTATTGTATTTTCGAAGCAAAATCTAACGGAGAGTAGAAAAACTACTTGAAGGCAGAAAATCCAGTCTATGTTCGCCCGCATTGGGAATTCCTTTACGATGGTTCGGAGCCCACATTTGACTCTGGCGACAGTATTAGGGTCATCGACAGAATACGGAAACACCAGTTTTTCCTCATCGCGAGCAGGTGGATAAAATCTAACAGACGTACTATTTTGAGAAAATACGTTCCCATGTGCTGGGGAATGTTTCTAGTTCTTCTGTTATAATTTGTTTTACCTATAACTGAGCTATATATCGCCTTTCAGTAGCATACTAAATACTTTAGCATGGAAGGTCAATGTGGGAACACTTTAAGAAGAGCTTAAGAACCACCTGGAAATCTATTTTCTCCAAAATCTGCTCTCTGTTGGTGACAGCTGAAGCGGAACACCACTCTAGTTATAAAAGCTCAGCGTATAGTGAAATAGTCCGTCGTAGTTTTCAGATCCCCTCCCCAAATTAATTGAAAATACATTGTAGATAAACTCGAAGCAAACATGTTTTTGTTCCCAAATTTTGGTAGACGGAATCTCACAGATGACAACGCGGCACCATATGGGGTTTTTCTCGACTTTTATTAACTTGCGAGTTATATCAAGTATTAGTATTTAGGTGATAAACAGTTTATCACACAGTCGAGATTAGGTGCGTCATTGTCCTAATTTTATCCACCTGCTAGCGATGATTATTTTGATCGTGTCAAATACTGAAAATAAGGAGTGATGATTTATAGATTATCACATTGTATTTTCAGAGTTTGTCGTGAGAACAATTTTCTCATCGCGAGCACGTAAATGGATAAAGTCGAGAGGCGACACCGCAGGTGGCCTCGAGAATTTATCTACATGCGAGCGATGAGAAAATTGTTCGAGCGACAAACGCTGAAAATACTGTATGATTAACTATTTATCATTTATATACTACTACTTATATATTTCTCCATTCACAAAAACAAAACTAAACACCATGTTTTCCAAATGACTTCTAAGCTCAATGGTCAACGATCGCCTGTGACAAACGTAAACAAATAGAATCACTATTTCCGGTTTTGTACGTCACCTGGCGTGAGCAGACGTTCTTTTTTGAGAAAATATGTTCCCAAGTGCTGGGCAATGGGAAAATCCGTTCTGAAGTTCTTTTCAAGTTGTTCTCAAGTCGTTCTCAACTTCGTCTTATACTGACAACCAATGATAATGAATGTATCATGCTACCGGAAGGTGGTATAAAGTAGTATATAGATGATAAATATAATTCTCATCACTATACAACAGCCCAGCCTCGTCGGCCATATTGCAAATCAAGCACAAAAAAAAAAAAACATTTTAAAATATTCCTATTTGAAAATGTTGCTACATCTGCAAACGCTTAACAACCAAAACCCCACCCCACCCCCACTCCACATCCGACCTCCTGCGCGTTTTATATAGCAAACATGAAATTTCACAGAACTATGGTTGTTTGTAATTTCAATATTAAAAACAAATACAAAATAAAAACAAAAACAAAACAAACAAAAACAGGAAAAGTGCAGGAGTCACGAAGTGAAGACCTTTATACCACCAAGTCTACACTTAACCAATGCTGTCAACCAGGAATTAAAAATTAAATGCACAGAATCAAAATGAGAGTCCTAATTATGGGACCAACGATGAAATGCACATCTTGACAGGGGAAGTTACTCTAAGCCAGGAAAACTTCTACACACATCCTCTTTATACAAGGGTGATCACTCTATTTCAAAAAAAAAAAAAGTGGAACTCTTCTTTGCCATTATAACTGATGTGGCGGTACCAATTAACTTATAACATCTAAAACATAACTTCGTAAACAGCAAATAAATATAATGTACAAATTCACAAGTTTACCTCGTCGTTTTAACTTTCCCTTCCTCACAGCCGGGGCTTTGACAGCGGAAATAGGTTTGCTCACTATCTCACCTTCTTCCGGAAGTGTATCTGAAGTACTTTCAGCATCCAGATTCTCTGTCCGGACATTGTTTTTCGAATTTGACGAATGCGATTTCGCGGAAGGAAGATACATTGAGCCACATGTACGATGTTTATTTTTCGTCTGCACGGAAGGGATGGCGTAATCGTTATCATCCGATTCATACAGTCCCTCAGACGAGTCTTCCTCGCTGGACCGGTATTCGGCAAGTTTATCCATTTTAGTTAATTATGAATATTTCAGTTTCCATGATTCAATCCTTGAAAAATTATCACATTTCAAAAAATGAACAATAGACATCAATGATTAACCCGATACTGTATACGTATCTGTAAAGTTCTGTAATGAAAACCTTGATCGAAATGAAAGTTATCCAGCAGACTGTTCGGAATAACGGATTCTTCGGATCATCGGAATCCGGATAAGGACGTTCCTTCTGCAGTTAAGAAAGTGTGTCACCAACAACACTTGTTTAATGAATACACTATAGCATATTTTGAGAGACCAAACTTGAATTCGTATATCAGTAGATAAGGTCGTTTTGAGAGTGTGAAAACAAACTGGTCGACAGCTGTTAAGATAAGCAATGCCATATCCAACAGATCTCGCTTCTAGAATCGTTATAATTATCGCTTCACCGGAAAACATGCTAGAGCTGTAAGAGTTACTTCCCTTATTAACCAGCAAGTGAATTAGAGAGAAAAATGGAGTAAATGTGGGGGGGAAAGATGGAGTAAATGTGGGAAAAAACAAAAAGAAGACTGAACATTTTCCATCAAGTCAAATGTAAATGTTTTAAGTGCATAATGTTATATTTCAAAGGGCTCCCAATCACTTAGAAACCTGGGATATGATACTTAAATCTTTTTTTGTGATAATGAATACTGCTTTTTATTAATATATGTGATTATCTCCCTTTACTTGTAATATAATGTGTTATTGTTATTTTACATATGTTCGTCGCAATAATAGCTCTCGAGAGCTAATGTTTATTGTTTACATGTATGGGACTTGAAACGAAGTTTCTTGTATCTTGTAAAGGTGAACATTGCCTCGCTTCCAGTAATGAAATAGACATTTCATAAGTAATTTACGCATCGATCAATATGAAAGAATTTTTAACCAACGGATTGGTGATCAAATGGCGATCAAACCAAATCAGAAACATATCTTAACATCTGTTACGGCTGTATGAACGTAACACTTCTCGACCCTAGTTTTTTAGTTCCCGTTTTATACAATTTCCTCAAATCTTTTGCAAGAAACTTAAATAGCATTTTGAAAAAAAGGGCTTTGCATGTTAATGCTAAATAGCTTTGGAATGACAAAAAATACCTTCATTACTAACTAATCATTCCAGAAATATCACTCTCGACAACCAATGACACAGAGGTATACAATGAAATAACGACTGAACCACGTGTTTGCTTTCATTTTTTTTAATTATTTCTGCATTAAATATTGTGAACAAAGTGAACTTTCCAAATCACAAAATCCATGCCGATATCACAGTCTTAAATATAGGGAACCCATCATATTCATCATACAATGTACATATACAACGAAATTTAAATTAAACAAAAAAGCTCCATTTGAAATGAAAATGCAACAATACTTCATGCATGTTAAGATTAATGGTAAAATCGCAAAAGTCTGTAGAAACAAATGCCCTGACCACACAGTAAACCTTCATTTTTTCATAAGTTATATTGAGCACAACTACCAAGTTGTTGATCTCTTGGTTTTCTTTAAAGAGTTACTGCCCCTTGCATATTGCGTGTAGAACCTGTTTTAGGCGATTTCGCTTACAATGTATACATTTGTATCTTATTCGTGGATTACTTTCACTTGGTCTATCTTACAAATATTCTTTTTGCAGGTAATACAATTTTCCTCTTTTGCTCATTTGTTTAACGTATCTCGATTGCATGTCACGGGCAAAATGCCGAAATATATAAATCAACAACAAAACGTTAACTATGTAGTAATACCACAAAGATAAATAAATAACAGAAACAGTGGGATTATAAAATTGTACCCACATATATAATATTCATAAATATAGAAATAATTTTCACTCTTAGCGAGATAAATATTTTTTCAACAAAAAGGAAAAACCTGTGCCGTTGGATCTCAGTAATCTGAATTTCCGTGTATTGTTAATTTAAGCGCTGATCGTTTGGGTCATATTACTCAAAAGCAATGGTTCCAACTGTCGTTCCGGAATTGTGTTTTTTTTCTATTAGACTGCGATTTGTTTTGTTTAGTGGTACCATAAGCGTCGAAAGGTTGGAGAAACTGTGTTTTACGTCAAAATTTTCGTAGATATTATTAACATCATTATCGATGATCACGCGGAATTTTTAAACAAGCAGCGGACTTTCGTTTTTCTTTATGTTAGTTCAGAAGAAAATATGTGTCCATACCAAATTATATGACCAACGTTTCTCCAAAACAAAATCCTGTATAATCAATAAAGCCTTCGATTATATTACTGAAATAAAAACTAAAATTGTTCCTAAATATGTTATATATGATATATTTAGGAACAAAACTAGTTTCCATTACAGTACCAACAAAGCCGAACAATGCTTAAATTAAATGAATAAAATAATGCGTTTGACCGAACTGCTTCGTTATTGTTAAATAGTAAAAAGCCGATACCTTCCGAACTTTGTCAAAATGTTCTCCGAATGTCAAGGAAGTGGTATAATAAATAAAACGGTTTTGAAATGACGGCAGCTAAGAACATTAAAACTAAAACAAACCGGAATCCCTTTAACACGGATATTTTGAGGAAAAATAGAAACGCGTCCGGATAATAGATAACACACCTGATCAAATCACGCCGGACAAGGGGATCAACAATAATAAAATACATTTTTTTAAGAGAAAATTAACAATAGTCACATGTCGAAATCACTTAAGTTTAACAAGATATCACAAACATGCATAAAAAACGAGATCCAAGTTATTTGAAGAGATCTTTCTGAAACAATTTTAAAAAGATGCTGATAGCATAAACGCCTCATCTCTCTCTCCTGTCCACAATTATAGTGCACATATATCGATGACGTTTTACTCAGGATGTGCTCACAACACACAAAAATGAAATCCAATTTGTCCTTTGTGAGTCGGAGCGCCATACCAAGACATTGTAATGAATTGCTATCTTTGAAAATCTGATGTGCTCTGGGAATTCATCATACCGTTAATTCTCTAAAGAAAACACGCCCGGTTCAAATTTTCCGGATGAGAAATACTGTGCTGTTTATGCAGCGATACCTGAAAGAAAAAGAGAAAAGGTTATTAAAATAATCTTTCCATTGTTGTTTTTTTATTTCAATATCTTAACCTTATCATAGAAACCTTTTACGAAAATTGATATATAATCACCAGTACATTTACGGGAACATCCTTGTACATGTATAAAGAATTGGGATCAGTGTAAATTTGAAGCTTATCTGTGCAACGCGAGGCCCTCCGTAACAAGCAGACGTCATGGACGCCACTGAGAGAGAGACACTTCAATACCGCATATCTAGGGCATAATACATGTACCTACATTTATAAAGTAAATTTACATATTGAAAGGAATGAATATATCTGCCTTACGTATCTTCCGCAATAAACACCGAAAAAAGTACCGTTCAATCCCTATCTTAAACAAATAAATGTTATCAACATCTAACCAAACGGACGAACAGTTCGTAAAAGAATTGTTCAAAATTGTTCAACAGAAGGAAAATGGAATGATTTAAGCAACCCAAACTTACATTCCGATGAAGCTCTCGGCTAATTTCAGCAAATGTAGGCCTTTTCTTTGGGTTGTGCGACCAGCTCAAATCGATCAAATTCTGGAATAAAAAAATGACACTCAAGTTCATAAACACATTTACATAATTAAGCCCATTGTTCAAGTGGCATTACTTTCTAAAACAATATGCAGATTATCTTTTTTGTCGTAAAACATAGATACGTTTTTTTTTTTTTTTATCTAACTTGTACAAAATGCCAGATATTAGGTTGGCACAGTCGGAGGGTTTTTGCTCTTTTTTTTTGTTCACTGAAAACTGAAATATGCATATTTTTTTTCTGTTCTATTTTGTGTTCGTACATTTAAACATAAAATTTTACTGTTATTTTGAACAAAGTGCCATCTCATGTCCTACTTACCCAAACCTTCCCTTGAAAACTATAACAGGATTGCTTTACTTTTGATCTGTGACCTTACCGTTACTACTGTATAGGTCATGACCTTTGAACTTATCATCTACACTTGAATTCCACATAGCAATGACCTATTAAAAATTTCCTCTCACATTATGACAAACCGCGCACTTCCTTGAAGTCCAACAAAAGGGATCGATATAAGTTGCAATAAATTGACCATATTTATTGTATATATATAGTTTACTTACAAACCTATTAACTTTCAAAATCACTTGGAGATGACCTTAACCTTTGAACTTAGGCAGGGTAACAATGCATATATATATATATACCGGATACTTATTTGGTATGACCTTGACTCTTGACCTTACCGTTAAAACTCGGGTGGCGTTGACCTTGCCCAGTGGCTGTTTTTGATTGGCACATGTCTTCCAGATGATCGTTTCCGGTTGCAGGCCGTAATAAGGTAACTGGCCGGCCATAATCTCATACATCAGGGTCCTGTCAATAGAAAATATTCAAATAAGGTTAAATGGAATATGTCGTTTGTTTCAAATTCCCCTCTCTGCGTGCATTCTTTTCATATCATGACTACCAGAAATACCATTCCTTATTCAAATTCAATTTACCATCGTAATACGATTTCCTAACACAACTTTTCAAAATGAAATCTGTCCATTTTTCACTAGACTGCATGGGTCAAATGAGAGGACGACAGGAGACGGGCGAAAAGAAACAGTACGAATATGACATTTCGGAGAAAATATATGACGTCACCACCAGGATCCGACGGGAGAGGTTCAGACTGAAATAACAGGTTTAGTGAAAAATAACCATCCTCTACTTTGGAAGTGGAACATAGAAATATCGAGAGCAAAAAGCAACATCTTCTTAAGACTGAAAACCACATATTTGAAAATCTCTTTACTTATCTTTTTAAATATTGTTTTTATTTTAAAGGTAGCATATCGCCATTTGAAAGTCGGATACTGAAGGTGCATATGAAATACAACTTTGTAAAGAGGGGTTTGAATAACAACAACAAAAATCAACAAAGTTGGAAATTTCAAATTAAACAACAAAAGTAATGACGGTTAGGGGGTTCGGAGAATGGCAGGCGCATACTTTCAGACTCAAAGAAACAGGGTTCACATTAAGTTTTGGCGATTTACCTCCAACCTGCCCTTTTCTGGGGATCCACCGCTGCGTGCAACCAGGGCAGTTTCATTTCTCACTTACCCAAATGCGAAAACGTCCGTTTGGAGGCTATAGTCGACCGTGGCTATAAGCAATGGGGGCACCACCATCATACTGGATAACACTTCCGGTGCAATATAGGTCAGCTGTCCGCGTGGCACGCATGCGTACTGGGGTCTAATTACAAACGTAAACAATATAAGGTATTAAAATTGTAATCTGAGAAAATATGTGAATTCACGTTTATCAATTTCAGACAAAACGAATATCTGTGGATATAAGCTATACAGAAATGACATTTTCTTTAAAATATATTGGGTGAAAAAATACACCAGTTGTTACGCTCACTTTCGCTCTCTACACAGAGCGAAAGTGAGTATCCGGTAATGGATTTGGTTGAATGGCCGTAAAACTAGTAGAAATATATATACCATACATGAAATAAATGTCTTTATTTTTTTATGTGATTTACACACATTTAAATATTTCATATATATATTATATATTTTAAATATTTATAGATGTTTAAATGATTTACCTGTCTGAATGTTTATCAGCTATCCCATAATCCACCACGCTGACCCTGGCCTTGGGACACATGAAGACGTTACGAGTACTGAGGCACCTGATGACGATACCCTTAGCGTGCAGGTACCCCACCCCGTGCGCCACCTGCCGGAGACACTGGATCTTATTCTGTAAATTCATTTTCTCCTTCCTTTTATGTATCTGGTCGTACAGTGAAATGCCATCTTGAACACTGAAACGGAAAGACGTGTTTATGTAGATCTCTACGTTAAGTAACCATTTTTTTGCAAGAAAATACGACTTCACTTTTCCCAGTAACACTCTCAAAAAGAACACTCATCTCTTCTTACCCGCTATGAACATGTTTTAGAAAAATCAGAATTTGAAGTGTCCGAAATACGGAGGATCCAATTTAAAAAGGACTGGTTTGTACCTTACCTTAGCACTACAGCGAAATGGTTGGGATCCACGCATGCGCCCATGAAGAGCGCAATATTTTCATGGCGCACCCTGTGAAGTTTCGTCACCATGTTCCAAAACTCACGCGATTCCTCCTTCTTCAATGGTCCGTAATGATGTATTTTTACGTTTCCATGCCAACGGCCACTGCAAACAAAACAAAATGTATTTTTGTGTACCTTAATGATGGGCCAATATTTGAATTTACTTTTGAATGACTTGACGAGTTTGTAAATTTTAATACGTTTCAACCAGTCGGACCACAGTTGTTCGTTTATTAAATAATGTCTGACCTAGTAATCTGATACCGAATTCAGGCAAGCCTTGACAAAGCTTTGCAAGTCTTGCATAAACATTTGCAGGTCCGTCAGGATTTATACCCAAACATGTTAAATATCGGATGTTCCGCATTAACGGACGGGCCCCTGGTGTTAAAGTCGCCACTAATAATTGTTTAACCAATCAGATCACTTGTAACTTCTTGTATGTTAGTACCCACTGTCATAACTCCGATCCGGCAATGATCCCCGTAGTTCCGTCCAATGAGATCTACTTACCTATATATAGAGCACGTGCGTCCGGATTTAAGCAATTCTTCGAGTTCTAAATCCTTATAAGGGATGAGGAATTCACTTGCGTTACCATGGATACTCTCCGAGCCAGACAACCTAAAACATGAAGAAGAGAATGCAAGTGCAATTTTACGATAGTGACGTTCGGTAACAATAAGGCATGCAGTTGCCATTTTTACGTAGTTTTGGACAATTCCGTTTCGATTTTGCCAACGAAAATTACATTTCCCAGTTGCTTCATGTTAAATGTGCAAGTCATAGTCACAGTCACATGATTCGCCAAGTACGAAACATTTTTGTGTAAACTCGGCTTTAAAAATTAGGTCACACTTCTTGTCTTTGAAATGAGTGAAGTGTATCTAAGTGCATGACCAAACTTGACTTTGTATGACGGTGAGTTGTTCACAATAGATGTATTGTAATAGCAATAAGCTGTATCGCTTACGATAATAAAGAATTGGAAATTGGTCTCGTTTCCAGCCGATATGTGTAGAGAACGTAAGTGAACGTAACCCCTGGATATCGAGGCTGCATAAAGTTTTGATATAACATTGAGCTTCTTACAGATTTCAAAAGTAATGCTTACCTTCTGGTCATACGTCCGTCGTCTTCAAACACAGAATCTAAATCCTCTGTAAAAAAAAACCCAGATGCTCGCTATATTACTTGAATAATAGGGTGCAGTGGTCGATCCATGCAGGGTTGTGTCCAACAAAACGGAGGATACATGGATTTTTGAGTAAACGACAGAGAGACGCGGTCTAAAGTCAGTAACCAACGCGGTCTAAATTCAGTAACCAACGCGGTTCAAAGTCAGTAACCAACGCGGTCTAAAGTGAGTAACCAATCTCATTACTCTATGAACGCATCCATGGAAGGAATATCTAAATCTGGCTATTGTTTACAAAGCTATCATTTCTCATCTCGAAAATACATATCCTTGCTAATTTGGCATTTTGAACACAGCCAAGAAAAAACAATAATCAAATATTAAGAGTTGTACAGTACAATTAAATGTCAGAAATGGACATCCCCAAACAGAGGTTTGCCGATATCCTGTCTTGGTAGGTATTTATACCAACCAAACGTGTGACGGATTTTCGGAAAAAAGGGGGAAAATATATTAAGTGAAAACATTAAACCGCATTTTCCTATAACCTTTTACATGATTGGTTTTATAACAGATTTTCGTATAAAAGAGTAGGGATACGTCTCTATCTTTGAAGCAATATTGTGTCCTGAAAGTAATACTATATTTTCTTTGGGATTGCATTCTTTACAAGTACGAGGTTTTTGAAAGTGAAGCTATGAGTCATGCGACAATTTGATGAAAATAATAAAAACAGAAAGAAAGAAAGAAAGAAATTACCTTCGATCATCAACTGACGTTTCCTTGACATTGGCCACGTTCCAAAAAACTCAGCAAATGGAATCTCGTTCGAAGACTCGGTGTGACGAGATGTACTGTGAGACTTCCCAGGACAGCTTGTTGTGATCGTCAATGGCTGTCGCTTCTCTTCCGGTTCCGTCACCTGGAGAAACTGTTTGTGTTTAGACTGGCGTTTGTCATTCTGATTGGGACAACCGGAAGTTGCTGAAGAAGGCACATGTAATGAGTGTTTTTTAACACAACTCGTTTTTGAATCGCTCACATCTTTCGTTTCTTCAGATACAGCCATCTTGTTTCGGATGTAAACATAATTCGGATCGTCAGTGTCCGATATAATTGTATTTTCCGTTCCAGTCCTGTATAGTCCAACTCTGTTCTGGAACGGGTTACTCGAGTCGGATTCATACTCCGACAATCCCGAATCAGTTGTAGAGTCGCTGATGATACGCTTGGAACTTCTTAAAGATCCCGTACGGAAAGGACCGTCAAATGTTTCATGAACTTTCCATTTGGAATTCAACCAAAACCGAAATCTCTGGAATATTGATGAGACTGTCGTATCGACATTTTGTGCACGTCGCCGCGATCCATGCCGCTTGAAGGATCTGCATCGCTCGGCATGACGACAGTTACACGGCCGACTATAGACACACTCGTTAGCTTGTAAAACCTTGGTCCAGTGTTCCTCAACTGTCACAAAAAAAATATATTCAAAAACATAAATATTGATCTTGCTTAGATTTACGAACAATGTCATGTTACACCTGGTGTCATGGTTCCTCGTGACCTTCTCTTTAGCCAATGGTCATGTTTTGTCAATTAAACGTGGAAATATACGGAAACGTTAATATATGTACATGTTCCTGCACGCATGAACCCTCACTCAAAAAAATCTAATTTTATCCAAAATAAGTCTCACAATGCTCACTTTATGACATTTTGAAGTACTTAAGAGCCAGCTTTTGGAAGATAGATGCAAGTACATGGTTAATTAGTCAGCTCGAATATGTACGCTTAATTAGGACATGTATTACCTACTTATCCATGTCACGTGATGTCTCCTTTTGAACAAGGCAATGTATAGTTTGCTCAAGTTTCAAGTTTCAAGTTTTATTTCACACTCATGACACACGAGGTGTGTTCAAGAGGTCAACATTTTAATACATTTCAATTACATAGCAAAGTGAGTACAGATTGTGTATACAACATGTAAATATATAATACTACAGAATAATAGCACTGCATTTATCTTATATCACTTAAAGCCTTAATTGTTTTCTCTAGAAAACGACTTATTTTAGGTAAAACATGTAAATTACAAAAAGAAATAATTCCTTTTAGCTTGAAATTGCTTGGGTTTGTAGTGTAATAATTATGGATGCATATTTTTCTTATCGATGATATATAAGTATTTTGGCATTTAAACAAATAATGTGGTTCATCACCTATACCTGTTTGACATAAAGGGCATATTCTATCTGATTTTGGAGTTGCATTCCAGCGTCCAGTCTCTATTGGGAAATTTAGATAAGACGTGCGGAATTTACAAATATTTTTCCTATCTTTTCTCATTATTTTTTTTTTCATTAAGTTTTTGCTGGCGTAACAATACCTCACGCTCTACTCTTTTAGCCAGTAGTCACGTTGCAACAAATTAAAACGATGTCAGTATATTGCCGACGTTGCATTTTTTTGCTTGTTAACTAATTGGTTGTAACGCGAAAATAATGAAGGAAGTCTTCGGAACTGTATGTAATTTGTGTTTTTTGTGCTTTGACTTTTACATCCTCTCAACCAACTTCGGTAAGTCAAAGAAAGATTATGGTGCTTGACAGAATTGGTGGATCAGCTTAATTTCCTATTCAAGACGCAATACTTCTTAACCCCCCCCCCCCCCCCCCCCCCCAAAAAAGGTTGATGTTTATTCACAGCTTATAATGAGTAAAGTCAAAGAAAAATTCTGATCCTTCATTCAATTTTCTTTTACCTTGATACGAGAATTTGTAATCAAACGTGCATAATCTTTTATTGCCACGTCCGTAACCTGCACTGTCGAGGACAACTCGAATATAATGAAACCTCTGTTTTTCGACTGTAATATTGTTCGGAAATTAACGTAATTAATCAAATTATGATTTTAGGGAAACCCAAAACGACCCTCAACGGCTACACAGAAAACTGTCAGCTAACGAAACAAGCAAAAACGAGTTATGTCCCTTAGAATGGCATTTTGTTGCAGAACGCACGCCCGGGTTTTTTTTGGGTTTAAAATTCTACAAGAGGTATCAACGTCGGATCTTGATGTTAAATAAACAAAATTAATCCAGCAATGTTAACATTAAGGATAAAGCAAATCTTGGTTAGAAATATGAACACTTAAAAAATGAAAAGTAAATTTGATATTTTTTGAATGGTTCAAAAATACATCTTTAAACTGTAATTTTTCAAATTTATTATCTAGAAAACACGCCTTTCAGTAATAATTTTTTCTCCATCAAAACAACCAAAATTAATAGATTGTATAGCTGTTATAACGAAATGTTAACAATAAAAATTGCGCTCAGTTTAAGTGATTATCTAAACCATTTGATAAGTTTAAGAAAAAATTGAATGGAAAAAATGATTCATTTTAACCGTATTGGAAATGCATTTGTGACCACTAAACAAGACATTCAATGTCATAAAAAATTCCAGCACGACTTACATTTATCTTGTATTTTAACTTTAATTTAATAGTTTTCTGAGGGAGTCGGCCATAATTTACAACAATAATTAATCAGTTTTTCACAAATTATATTAATCCCTCTTCTTAATCCGGATGGAAGTTCTTCTCGGGAGTTAAGTATTTAGATAAACTTACCGACTCTGGGTCCTTTTAAGGAGTTAAATAAAAGAATGTAATACTTACCGACTCTGGGTCCTTTTAGAGAGTTCCTGTGCCGTAAAGGTCGATGCTCCGACCGTTTAGATCCCCTAAGTATGAAAAATATACCCATGTTATTTTGTCCAATTGATTTCAATTAATTTCACTTTTCATCTTTGTCTGTTTCGTGTGGCATAGCCGATCAGCATAATCTATTTCGATATCATGTCAAAAAGTCAATCCATATCACCAATCCTTTCAAAATGACAGTTTTCAAACAGCGCCTGTATCATTTATATATTGTCCCTTGGTGTGTGGCCGTTAAACACTATGAACAAGATTATAAAATCTCCAGGTAATTATCACTAGCTTGAGCAAATTTCGATTTCCTTGGAAACAAACACAAACTGTTGTGTTTCATGTATGTTGGGTGTCGTATGATGATGACCTAGGTATATATATTATGCTTCAACTTTATATACCGAATCTGAGCAGAAGTTGACTCCCAGGTTGCAAAGAAAACTGTTTTCTTAACGTACAAAACATATTTCGTGACAGTCAATTAGCACTTACCTGCGCCTACATGCCGGGCAGTCGGCGGTGTCTGCGACGGTCTCGCTTTCTGAGGAGTTCATTGAGGTCGTTTAATCTGTAAAAACAAGTCAGTGGTTGAAAAAACAACCAGGAGTACCTCTTGCTCGGTGTTTATTTTAGATAATTTGATTATCTTTCCGTTCCCATCTGTTCAAGCTCAAGCTCATTTTTTTTCTCTCATTCATTCATTCATTCATTCATTCAAGACATCAATTTTATCGATCACAATGCAAGGTGCAAGATTCAAGAAAACATATTTATCGTCGGTTACATAAAAGCAGACAACATAAGCTTTCAGAAATTTTATCCGACAAAAAAGGTAGATAAATATATAAAAAAAACAGTTGTTTGAACATTAATTGTACAATACATATGTAGTGCATATATATATATTGCAATATACAATGTATATTGTGTATTATAGTGTATGCTCCGATACAAAAACACGAATCATGGACATGTACGTGTGTTTTTATAGTGGAGAATAACAAAATATTATCGATACCACAAACATCATACAAGTTGTGATTATCAATTAAAACGCTTGAAGTAAAAATTATCCGAAATTGCCAATTTCCAACAAATTTCTTGTATCTAATTTAATAGTTGAATTACAAATTCACATACTAGGGTTCCATGTAATAGATTACCCACTTTTTATTACGTATCTAAACTGCGTGGAATTTTAAGATAAAATGTCGTTCTTCTAAGTCATATTATACATTACATAATTTACAATGTTTATTTCTATTATATTTACTGTACCGTATTCTATATTCAACTCGTGGACGGATTTTTTTTACTTCTTGAAATTTCTTGCATAAAATTCCTAATTTGAACAAAGAGTGTGCTGTCCAAACGTACAACGTGGTGTTATATAAGACCTGCTATAATCTTCTTTTTAATGGTGAAATATACGTCGATGTCTTTATTTCAAATTCAGATATTGTAGTCTTGCCCCATCGAATAAAATACCAATATAAAATATTCTTATGTATATAAAGAGAGAGAAAAAGACAAATTAAATAGTGTTCATGCGAACGATAAAATGAAATTGTAAATAAACTAGAAAACAGATTTGTAAACGTTTTCTTCCCGGTTACAAATGGGTGGAAGCGCTAACAACACTCTGTAATAACAAGAACAATAATAACACGGAAATAGCGTTTCGTCTTCAAAATGTTTTCAGATTCTGCGGCCTCAATGAAAAGATGGACACATTGGAATGGGACAGCAGGTGTATCCTCCTGTTTAAATAAATGATTGAAACAACATTGGAACGAATTTCATCAAGAAGTGGACATTTAAAGACGTCTTTCAACTTCTTCTACAACTTTTGGGTTATAGGCACAGGGTCACCTCTTTCCGATTTATGCAGTAATTATTATAGATGTATGTATTTATGCTCAATTTGGATAAAAGGTGATTTTAAATTTTTTTCAAACTCTTCCATTTAGGATGTAATCGACAACCTTAACGAGATGATGACGACAACAACGCCGATTACGACAACAGTGGGGCGGTGTTTTAGGGTGATGGCGGCAGATTGTTTTCAATATGGCCGTATCTAAAACACATCTAGGTCGTCACAATCCTGTTATACTGTACCAATGTCACACAGCCCTAAACGTAAGCTTTGATTGAAAACACTGCAGTTCCCTTGGGATGTTGTAGTAATGGTTTAGGTTAATGCCGAACCATCACGCTACATATAACGTTAAATGTGGTTTGATAAATTCCCCTTGCCCACAGCGTTGAGTACACCCAACAACGGGATATTGGAAACAAAATCCTTGCAATAGGCATTGCAATTAACATTTAATCTACAATATCTCCTACATGTATACATATTTTAATGTTTTATGAACGCCTTAATTGAATGATCGAGGACTTCCCACTCTATTGAATATTGATAACAGGCATTAATATTTTTGTATTATCGACACTGAATATTTTCATGAAAGTGTGTAATGACCTGAAAGTACAAATTTAATAATTGACACAAATATTCATATTTCGATTTTGAAAAAAAAACAATCATTTAACTGAGTAATGTAGGTTTTCACGTGCGCCAATGAATATTATGAAGGCAAGTTTTAAAGATTGGCCTAATAATTTGGTACGGTCCAATGCAAGTTATTTTCCTTCGCGATAGTACAACCGCTCCAAATTTTCTTATTTATGACTCCACTTATCACTTTGTCACCGGAAGCATTATCAATATGGTCGAAACAAATAAAACTCCCACAGTCACTTTGGTCGCGGTGAACATGGATAGGCTATACCGATCACGAGAAGATATGTGCAGAGCTGAACCCTTGGATTTCGAGGATGGGTTATGCCGAAACCCTTGGATTTCGAGGATGGGCTATATCAGAGCCCTTGGATTTCGAGGATGTGTTATGCCGAAACCCTTGCATTTCGAGGACGGACTATATCGGAACCGTTTGATTTCGAGGACGGACTATATCGGAACCGTTTGATTTCGAGGACGGACTATGTCGGAACCCTTTGATTTCGAGGACGGACTATGTCGGAACCGTTTGATTTCGAGGACGGACTATATCAGAACCGTAAGATTTCGAGGACGGACTATGTCGGAACCGTTTGATTTCGAGGACGGACTATGTCGGAACCGTTTGATTTCTGGGACAGGGTATACCCCTGACAGTAGGCGCTATATTCCAATTATATCAATAGAATTCGACCTCCTGTGATTCAGCTACAAGTATCTGTGGATCACGGAGTTATATTATTACGTTGTGTTGGTTACGTGAGACTGAAGTTTGCTGAACTAGGTAAGAATCAGTTTGTTTTGGTACATAACAACCCCCCATCCCCCACTGTGTACATGTACTTCAGACCCATGAGCCTTAATGTGTGTATACGACCCTCGCCTTATTACTATTCACGATATTACGAGATTAAAATGGATTTCAATTAATGGCTATTTTCGCGCCGCTTGCAGTGGAAGGCTCCCGAGGGATTCCGAATAACGATTTTTCTGACCTTTTGTCTACGATTTAGTAACAACTAAATCCAAAACACTGCACATTAATTAAGCACATTTTCTTCAAGAAAAGAAATCGTTAAAAGTGCCCAAGAAATTGAATTAAGACTTTAATGAACTCCGTTTTCTCCATCACACAAATACACTGGATGACTGGTCTTAAAGATCACGTCACCAGCGATAACGCGTATCGCTCGCAGCCTTATTGTTCGTATTACACTGTATAGCCCCACTCGCAACTCTTCATTTAAGCTTTTGTTAGTTTACATCATAGGGAAACAATAACATGCTTGTGAGCAAAAGTTTTTTGAACCGCGCTTTTATTATATACGTGTTCATTTAAACCTCGATATAATGCCCCTTGATTGATTTGTCACTTCGTTGAAGTATACTGCCAATTTCCAGTTCCTTTCTGCATTGTTTTCCTGATAGTTCCCTTATAAACCCTCCTCTATAACGCAAGTATTTCGCTGGACAAATATTGGCTGTACAACGAAGTTTTATTGTACAAGGAAAACAAACAACTCAAACAATCTATGAGACGGCATTGTCAAAGTGCAACATCAGAAACGGTTGACATGAAAATTATTTCAAGAAACTTTGAAGTTTCCATAACGGAATCAACTTCATTACATTATCTTTGTGAGATCCTGTGATCCATGTCACACATACATATATATATATCTGTAATAGGAGCCGGAAATGGCACGACCAGACCGTGATTCGAACTCGGGACCCTCCGAACTCTAAACGAACGCTCTGCTAACTGAACTACCTGGTCGACGGAGACCGACCTAGTCCAGTTCCGCTACATATTTATAATTTTAAAAAACTACAGAGTGGTCGGGTGGTGCTGTGGATAACGCACACGCCTTACACCAAGGCGACCGGGGTTCGATTCCCGATCGGACTTGAAAAAGGCAGTGTCAGCTGCCCGATCACGTTGGGTTTCTTCAGGTTCTCTTGTTTCCTCCCACTTTAAACAACTAACTTCTTTGTAGATATTAGATATGTTGATTTGTTTTGTAGATTTGGTAATATTTCAATTGAATAATTTGAGAACATGTACAGTATGCTAGTTTAATAAGGTCAGTACAGCTAATCAAAAACAGAAATCAACACGCAATTGCAGGCTTACTAAAACATATATCTAATTTCTAGTTACATTGTAACACGCATAACATTGAAACAGAGAAAAATGACCGACTTTCATGAAATACATTCTAAAGATACTGGTGGGTACGTATCGCTCATGACCAATCATGGGAAAATATCTCACTTAAACAAAATATTGTAAACATGTTTCGAGGAGAGGAGCCAGAACCAAGGGAAACTAATTACTGTATTCGTCTTTTCATTTTTCATACCTAGACATTTTATCATATTGTGAGGATCTCAAAAGTTTTACCTAAGAAAAAATCCTCAAGGGCGGTGCCAGATCTCGGGGCTGTTGTAGTGTGATTCTGTTCAATTATCATCCCCAGCAACTATATATATCGTTTTAGCTTGGAATCTCAACTGTTTATAAAGTTATTACTAATGGACCCAGGACTCGAACCTAGGTCACGTGATTTCCCCAACCCCCCTTGTCTGCCCTCCAGCACTGAATCGCTGGTTCGTTGCCTACGTGAGACAGTCGCCAGGTACTATCCGCAGGACTAGCCGCAGGTCGATTGCTTTTCTACAGGTATTCCTGTTTTCTTCTTCTGCCATAACCTATCTCATCCTTGAATGGCCAAAGCGTGAAGCAAAAAACTTCCCAACCCAAAAGGCTAAACCTTTAAAGCATCTACCCACTCTCTCTCTCTCTCTGAATATCACCATTGATTCAAACATGCACACCGGGATTGAATCTCTGGTCCATGTGACCACAGGGAACATTGTTAAACTTATCTTTTTTGATAGTAAGACTTTCTCGGTCGCTAAAGAATGGAAACAAGCCTACTTTGCAACCAGACTAAGTATAATGTAACGGGAAAGTATTACATAAACTATTTGGTTTGGTTTCTTAGTGTTTTACGTCCTATTAACAGCTTTGGTCATTT